GGATGGGCAACCTGGGCAACCTGGGCAACGTGGTGTGCGCGGGGGTGGAGCAGTGCGGAGCCGGGCCCGTGCTCATCCCCGGGCCCCCGGGAGTCTGTGGGAACAGGTTCAGCACAGCCGTACGCGTGGTCAGGACGACCCGGTAGAGAGCAGTGGGGCCTGACACGGCAGATTTTATAATAATCAGCATTTCTGCAATAAAACAGTATTCCCCCTCCCTCTGGCAGCCACAGGGATCACACAACCATGCGCTAGAACATCGCTCTGCCTAAACCCTTTGCCAAACAAAACCCACCCTCTCCCTGATGTCTTTCTTGGGGGAAACCCTCCCCTGCCCCCCTCAGCCAGGTGAGATTTTCATTTCAGAGAGCATTCCTGTCTCCACACATCATCCTGGCTTTTCAATCACCCTGCCCTGCTTGACCCCTTTCCAGCAGAGATTTTCTTTCCCTAATGCAGCTATTGCAAAAGGATGAAAAATTTGGTCATCCCAACTTCAGAGAGAGAAGCCACAATTTAATTGTCCAAGACAAAGCTGCAGCTGTAATTTAAAATCTTTAATGACAGCAGAAAATCCAATTTTTCCTGTTTACAAGAGTGTTGGGAATGCCTATGTAAATTGGCCCAGGTTGCTACACTGCGTTTGGTAGAGCAGATTTTAATTACACCCCAACGAGCACCTTATATTTCTGTAGTTAAATGCATGCGTTGTTTGTCCTGTGTGCAATAGACGGAGTTAAAGCTTTTAATGTGTAAGTGAACAGAGTTATTACCCTTCGCTTACTCCAGACTTTCAGCTGTACCTTCAATAAACTCCATGCATAATTCATGCTGCACTGCCTGGGCTTTATTTCCCTACCTGATATTGCAAATCATAGAAATTTCCTCAAACCTGAATCTCCCAATGGGTGGAGTTTGGAGCTTCAAGAAGTTTTTGTCTGCTTTCCTTCCTGAAGCACCTTTGCATACCTTTATTCCATCCACTGATTACTGTGGCCACAAGGAAGTCTGGAAAGCAGGCTTCTTAACCATCTGTGGGACATGCAGTTTGCTTGGGTTCTCTCACAGTGTCTGGGATCTCTGGAGACAGAACAAAAAGGCAGCCAGATCCTTGTTTAAAGAAATCAGTGAGAACCAGCTCAGGGAGTAACAGGAAAATAATCCCACACCACACCCATGAAGCCCTCTCACAAGAGTAGGTTGATCTTAGAAGAAAGAAGAAAATTCAGTTTCCCAAAATGTAGCACCCGGGGCTTCTTCCTAATCCTCACCTTCCTTAAAATATGTGAACTCACACAAAGAGCAGGGTCTGGAGATGTGGCTGGACATGTCCCTCCATCATCCCTTCCAGGGAGAAACCCCCCCCCCCCCCTCACGCACACACAATTTTAGGAAACTGGGATTTAGGAGAAATCACACAGTCCTCTCCTTTTTCTGTGTGAGTGTCACAGAATCACGGAATATCCTGGGTGGGAAGGGACCCACAAGGATCAGTGAATCCCACTCCTGGCCCTGCACAGGACACCCAAAAAATCCCTCCAGATGCTTGAGTGTTGTCCCAATGCTTCTGGAGTTCTGCAGGGCTCCCAGTTCTCCTAGACAGTCACCCACTGGTCTCTACAACTTGGGAGGATATTGCCATGGTGACAGCTCAACCCAGCTGGATGCACAGCGGCAATCATGGGAAAACCAGCCAGCCCTGCCACTCCTCCCTTCCCACAGCTCCCCATGGCACAGCCAACAGTCCCTGAGCCATCTCTGCATCACCGTTGGAGAAATCCCCATGTCCTTGTCCAGCCTGGAACAGCACAGGGTGTGGGCAGGTTCATCTGCCCATGAAAGGCTCACCAAAACCCAGGGGCTGTAATTTATTCACCCATGTCCCACTCCACTTCCAAGACCTTCCCTGCTGACTCATGGCTTCTTTCCCTCAACTTCTTCAGGGCTGGAAAATGAGCTCAGCCCCCATCCAAGACTTGGTCTGTCCTTGCTGGCAGGGTGGGGATGAACCCACCACAGTATGAGTTCCAGCCTCTGCTGTTCTCCCAGCATCAGGCATTCCAGCTCCCCTTGTGGTATATTGGATGTGATCAACAGGAAGCAGAGCACTAATTCTATTTTAATAAATGCCACAGTGGCTGAGGGGTGGTAAAAGCCAAGTGGGTCAGCCTTTGGTGAGAAAGCAAAACTCACCCCACTAAAGATGTTTTTGGAAATGTTGTCTTCATCTTTTCTGCTCCATGAACACAACTCGGGCTCCATCTCATTTCTATGTAAATACCAAGCAGAAACACCCCAAACAAGAAGCTTCCAGTGCCCCAACAGCTCATAATTTATGTTGATCATCTCCCTGCAAAGCAATACCTGAACACTAAACACCAGGCAAACACCCCAGGGGATAAAAGCAGTCTGGCAGCTCTTGTATTTCTGGGAGAAAACCTTTAATCATCCCTGTCCTCAACTTCCAGCTATTGCAAAACCCACATTTACTGCTGCCTGCGTGAAAATGTTCATGTAGATCAGGGTATTTTGGAGAGAAAAAAGCCGGGAATGTGGGTTTGGGGTGGATGGAGGTCAAATCCTGCACAGTGTCAGTCTTGATAGACTCTTTTGTAAATTGATAGTCTAAAACTATGGATTCATGGAATGGTTGGGTTACAAGGGATCTTATAAACCATCTCATTCCACGCCCTGGCATGGGCAGGGACACCTCCCACTATCCCAGTCTGCTCCAAGCCCTGTCCAGCCTTGCCTTGGACACTTCCAGGGATGGGGCAGCCACAGCTCCTCTGGGAAATCCATTCTAGGATCTTTAGCCTCTCCACCCTCATAGAAGGAATTTCTTCCATATATTTAACTTCAACTTTCCCCTCTTTCAGCTTGAATACAGAGCCTGGCAGAGTTGATCCAAACAGATAGATGAAAATGCCACATCTGCCTCTGTGTTTCCCAAACCCTTGGCTCCTCCACACCACCAGCCACCCCGAGAAGGAAAGGGAGTGTTTTTCAGGTGGCCTTTGCATCGCTCACATACCCAGTGGATAACAAGCCAAGGGGAGAACAGTATGGGAGCCTAAAGTGACAATTCCTTCTTTCTTCTTGGCAGCCCCACCTTTAATCCCATTAAATTCACTCAGCTCTAACATCTGATCTGAACCCGTTTTTCAGCTTCAGGACAAGTTGCCTTTACTGGGGTCAAGGAACCATGAAGACAAAATCTAATTTTCCCATCACACCCTGGCTTTGAATTTTATGCAAATCATCAAGGCAATGGATGTTTATGAATTTCAAATGACATTCCAGATTCATACCCACATTTTCCAAAAAGAAACAAGCTGACCTGCACCATGTGGGAATAATTTCTCACTGCAAAGAGAAATTCTCTTTCAGTGCCCCAACTCTCCCATTTGAGCCTTCCTGACAGCATTTCTCCAGGGATAATAAGATATTTGGTCTTCTGTATTCGTAGCACCTATTTAATTGTTCTTCCAGAGATGCCAGTGAAATTTTAGCTCCTTAATGGTTTTGTAGCACTGGGACACAGGGATGTGTTTTGAAGGGCAAGTAGAGTCCTGTTTGGGGTCCAGTCCTGCAGAGTGCAGGCCAAGCCACCAGGGCAGCCCCATGCCAAAAACCAGCGGAGCTCTGACATGCGAGGGACAAAATACTCTCAACACTGCAGTTCCACAAAGTCTGACATGCCAGAAAATGTCACCACATCCAGTTGAATTTGATCATTTTTTCTCCAAGGACTCCAGAAAGTAAAATAAGGAGAATTTTTGGGAGTATTTTTCATCCTGGTTAAATCTGCTTTTGGAGTGTTTTGGATGGAAGGTTCAAAGGTCTTTAAAAGAAATCAGAGCTAGAGAGAGCCAGAAACTCAGGACTGACAACATTCTAAAGTGGGAAAATGGCATCATTCCACAGAGCTGGCCAGAGAGTTTTTCAGAAAATCTGCCCCTTGTTTTTTTTAAATGGTTTTTAGGTCAAGATGAAAATACGTCAATCACATCATCAGCTAGCTGGAGATAACACAGCCTCTACATGGAATGGAGCTGTACTCTGGAAATGCAAACATCCAAAGGAAAAGCCTAGAAAACTTGCCATAGGCTAAATAATGAAGATAAATGGGAATAATTTGAGGTGGTATTTACATATGGAAAGGGGAAAGAGGAAAACTTGATCGGGACCTCTTTGTCAAGTCATCCCAAAGAGATGTCCCTGCCCAGGGAGTAGGAACAGCAGACTGGATAAATTAGAACCTCAAAAGGGATGTCAGGTTTCATGAACATCAAGCTGCCTTCTTCCTTCAGGTGAAGAAACCCCACTAATTATTTTTGTTCAGATTCAACTGTTTTGTTTTCACCATCTTTCACTTTGGAGTTAGTCCAGAGGACTCTTCACTGATCTCTGTGTTGATGTGCTTCATCTTTTAAGTAGAATTGGGAATGCAAGACATTATTTCTGGCTTTATAATATTTTAAAATTATTTTCTTTCACAGTGAGGGAATTATAGAATATGGAATCCCAGAATGGTTTGGGTTGGAAGGAATCTCAAAGACCATCTCATTCCACCCTCCCACCTCCATGGGCAGGGACACCTTGCATTAACCCAGGTTGCTTCAAGTCCCTCCCAGCCTGGCCTTAGACACTTCCAGGGTTAGGCAAAATAATACAAAATAAAATAACCCATCTCTGTGAGGAGACAGAAGTTTTGCATCAGGCTGAGCTCTCCCTGCCAGAAATCTGGGTGTTAGATAACTCTTCCGGCTGAGTGGATCCAGCCCCAGGAGGTGTGTTTGGGTGCAATCAGGATTTAACAAGTCTCAGTGAGACAGCTGCCTCCTGGCATGTCAAAACCATGAAGGCACTAAATTGATCACTGGACTTCCATGCAACCAAGCCCAGATCCCTGAGGTATAAAAAGGGTACCCATATTCCCTTTCCTCAGGGAGCTGTGGAGTCTCTCTGGCTGTGCAGGGCCCTTCTCTGCTGTTGTGATGAACCGAACGCTCAGCATGAGGGCAGGAGGTGGAGGCCGATCCTACAGTGCTGCCTCAGCCATAATTCCAAGCAGCAACAGGGCTGGCTTTAGCTCTGTGTCTGTGGCACGATCGGGAGGAGGAGGAGGAGGAGGTGGCTTTGGGAGGCTCATTGGAGGAGGTGGCAGCAGAAGTTCTGGTGGTGGTGGAGGTTTTGGCAGCAGGAGCCTTTACAACCTTGGTGGTAGCAAGAGGATTTCCATTGGGGTTGGAAGCAGCTTCCGAGCTGCTTTTGGAGGCGGAGCTACTGGTGGCTCTGCTCTGGGAGGTGGCAGTGCAGTGGGTGGTTGCGGGTTTGGCAGTGGTGGAGCTGGTGGTGGGCTTGGGCTGGGGCTTGGACTGGGGCTTGGTAGTGCAGGTGGTGGATTTGGCTTTGGTGGTGGTGCTGGTGGGCTTGGCTATAGTGGTGGGCATGGGAGTGGCGGAGGGTTTGGCTTTGGTGGACTGGGGGGGCTGGGAGGATTCCCTGCAGGGCTGGGTGGTGGCAGGAACCCAGTGGGATTTTCTGGTGGCCCATCTGGAGTGGGTACAATTCAAGAAGTGACTGTGAACCAGAGTCTCCTGGCACCACTGAACCTGGAGATAGATCCAAACATCCAACAGGTGCGGAAAGATGAGAAGGAGCAAATCAAGACCCTCAACAACAAATTTGCTTCTTTCATTGACAAGGTGAGACTTCGTTGGGTTCTGTGCATCTGTGGTAGAGGGGGAGTGAGGATCTAGTAAGTACAAAAATATGATTTCAGGGATCTCCAGTCCTTCACTCATTTCCTCCCTGCATGTCTTCGTTAATTCCCTCAAACAATAACACCCTTGTGAATGTTTACAGGGGAGAAAACAAAACAAGAAAATTGTAGTAATGTGACTAGATCCAGGTTTTGTGCCTGAGAAATAACACAGATTAGTTGAAATGGAGTAAGTCAATTTTGGGTCCAGGTCTACTGGCTCAACCCAGCTCTCTCTCCGGGCAATGTGCAACAGCAGATGTGTTGGTCTTTGTTGTTTATTGCCTGCAAGATAAAATCATTTTTGTACTGACTTAATTGACTCAACCACCCAAGTCCATCCTTGGCTTTTAATTGGATAAATATGTTGTATGAGTGAGCAAAAGGAAAGGCAATTAAGCCTTTTAGCATTAGTATTCAGACCATGGCTTTAATGAAGAAAGATAAATATCTTACAAAGAAAGAAATACCATAGGGTGTGAAAGAAGAACTTTACTGTCTGGTGAAGAAAGAGCTGAACTTCTTACTATCACTCGCTGGCTTCCTAAATTAAATTGCCTCTGAAGAGAACTGTCCACTGAGGGTGGATTTGCTCAGCTACAGGTTGGGCTAACACAGCCCTGGATAATCCAGTGGATATTCCCAGCTTGGAAACTCTTAGTTTGGGAATCCTTGGCTCCTGCCATGTATCACTCACAGTTATTGAATATTGGCTGTCAGCTCACAGGTATCTTCTGCCTAAGTCTCTTCTGCTTTCCAATACTCAGGTTCGCTTCCTGGAGCAGCAGAACAAGGTGCTAGAGACCAAATGGACTCTTCTGCAGGAGCAGGGCCAAAAAAACAACTCTGGGAAGAACAACCTGGACCCACTTTTTGAGGCCTATATCAACAACCTGCGGCGGCAGTTGGCCAACCTGCTCAATGAGCGGGGACGCATGGATGGGGAGCTGAAGAACATGCAGGACCTCGTGGAGGACTTCAAGAACAAGTGAGTGTGAAAGAGGGTGTAAATTGTTCAGCTGAATATTGAGCAGCAAGAGTTTTCACCCTGGGGGTGACCAGATACTGAACAGTCTCCCCAGGGAATGGCCCTATGGCTACCAGAGCTCCAGGAGTGTTTGGACAATGCTCTCAGGCACAGGGTGGGATTGGTGGGTTGTCCTGTGCAGGGCCAGGAGTTGGATTCAATGATCCTCATGGGTCCCTTCCAACTCAGCTGAATTTATGATTCTATAATTTTATAATTCTAGGATTCTATGATTCTATAATTCTACTTATCTATGATTCTATGATTCTATCATTCTGAGATTCTATGATTCATCTCAAAAATTTTGATTACTGAAAGTCAAACATCCAGTCAGAAGTATTAAAGGAAATTTCTCCAGGAAAGGAGAAAAAGTGTCTCTGGTTTGTGGTCTGACCCATAACATAGAGCATCACTAATCACTTCCAAGACTTCTTGCTCAGAGGTATCTCTCCCTGCAGGACCCATTTTCCTCAACAGCACCAAAAAGGGTCCATCGACATTTTTCCCATCAAAAACTGGAGATTCTGCCAAGACACAGCACCTTGTGATGGCTCTTGAAAAGGAAAATCCTCTAAACCAGCTTTACTTTCCTTGTTCTATCTGCATTAAGTCAAAAATGTCCTTTCCACCTTTAGAGAAATGAGAATCTCACACTTTCGAGCTGGACAGCTCCCAGGAGGCTGATTTGGAGATGCCACCCACAGTCCAGATCATCTTGCAGTCCTACCTGGACACCTGTTCTGCTTCCTGAGGTCTGATCCAGCACCTCTTTCCCTTTATCCCTGCAGATACGAAGAGGAAATCAACCGGCGCACGGCAGCAGAGAATGAATTTGTGGTGCTCAAGAAGGTGGGTGAGACAGGAGGTGCTGCAGATACTGAGCCAACCCCAACCATATCATGGACTGGGAATATCCTGAGAGATGGGAGATCTCATGGAGCTGCATCCTCATCCTTTAGAAGGGCTTTAAATCATCATTTGATCATGGTATTGTGGGAAAGGAATGGAGTGGCTTGTAGGAGGGAAGCAAAATCTCCTCCCACTCCTGTCCCACAACACACAGAGGTGCAAAACAAGCTGTGTAGAGACAAAGGGGATCAGTCATGCTGGGAATCCCAGGTACCAAGGCCAAAGAGCCAGGACCTCCCTCCTTATCCACTTTCAAATTACACACAGCACTTTTCCAGGGCACAAGATGCCCTCTTGGTGCTCTTCCAGCAGGATGTGCCAAGCACAGCTTCTCTACCAGGCAGCAGGGAAAGGGACAGCCTCATCTCCAGGCTTGGCCTTTCCTTGGCTGTGCCAAAGGACTTCTTCCTGGCTGAGAAGAGGATCCAGGTGCCACAAGTGTCCCCACAACTGCTCTTTTCCAGGATGTGGATGCTGCTTACATGAACAAGGTGGAGCTGGAGGCCAAGGTGGACGCCCTGAGTGATGAGCTCAACTTCCTTCGAGCCCTCTATGAGGCGGTACAGACAAATCCCTGATTCCTGTCCTGCTGTTGTCCTTGGCTGGGGACTGCTACCACTGAGGGTTGGGAGAGGTAAGTGCAGTTCCCATGTGCTACCCACAGGAGCTGGCTCAGCTCAGCGCCCAAGTGTCCGACACCGCCGTCATCCTGTCCATGGACAACAACCGGGACCTGGACCTGAGCAGCATCATTGCAGAGGTCAAAGCTCAATATGAGGACATCGCCAACCGGAGCCGGGCCGAGGCCGAGGCTTGGTACCAAACCAAGGTGAGCTGACCCATCATTTCCACAGGAAATCCCTGCTCTCCTTAAGAGGGGCTGTTTGAACCATGTCTTGTCCAGCCAGACACCTCAGACAGTTCAGGTTACATCTTCCTCCTCAGTTTGAGGAGCTGCAGGCCACAGCTGGGAAACACGGTGATGACCTGCGCAACACAAAGGGTGAGATCTCAGAGCTCAACCGGCTCATCCAAAGGATCCGCTCCGAGATAGAGAATACAAGGAACCAGGTAGGAATGACAAAAGGAGCTAACAGAGCCCCATTCTATTGTCCATCAACACTGCAGCTCAGCTTTGCTGATCAGGGGTTTTTCCAGCCTCACTGAAGGTGTTGAAATCCCTCCTGGAAAGGACTTCACACTGTAAAATTTAACTATTAAGTCCTTGCCAGCCTGGCATTTCAACTCCAGCCATGTTAGCTCAGCTGGTACATTTTCCATGAACATCCCAGTTCACCCAAAGGGAAGAGCAGCTTTCCAAGCCCCCCTATCCCTTGCAGTGTGCCACCCTGCAGACGGCCATTGGAGACTCTGAGGAGCGTGGGGAGATGGCCCTCAAGGACGCCAAGGCAAAGATGATTGACCTGGAGGATGCCCTGCAGAAAGCCAAGGCTGACATGGCCCGGCAGCTCCGGGAATACCAGGAGCTCATGAATGTCAAGCTGGCCCTGGACATTGAGATTGCAACCTACAGGAAGCTGCTGGAGGGCGAGGAGAGCAGGTGGGAGCAAATTCCTTGTGAGGATAATAGTGACTATCACTCTTCCCGTCAGAGGTTGGTCCCTCTGCCTGTCTCCATAATTTTGTTCCAATCTCTTCTTAACCCACAACAGGCTCAGCGGGGAGGGACTGAACCCCATCAGCTATTGTAAGTATCGCAGTTCTGGACCCCAAAGTCTGGCTTTGGGAGCAAGGCCTGGGAGAAACCTTGGGAAAAGGAAAGTTTGGCCCCACATAAGACTTTTGGAGCCCTTCACTGTCACTAGGGGCTTGCACAGTGGGTGGAAGTTGGGTTTAAGTCCTGTGGGTCAAGGTCCTGATAATGATGATGATGCTTCCTGGAACTGGTGACTCCCCAGAGAAGCTATGGCTGCCCCATCCCTGGAAGTGCCCAGGGCCAGGTTGGATGGGGCTTGGAGCAATCTGGGATAATGGAAGGAGTCCCTGCCCATGGCAGGGGCCGGGATGGGATGACTCTTATGGCCCCTTCCAGCCCAGCCCATCCCATGATTCCATGACTGCCATGCGGATGTTCAATCTTTTGGTTGCTTTTCCTTGCAGCAGTCATCAGCTCCAGCTCCAGCATTGCTGGTGGAGCTGGCTTAGGAGGAGGATTTGGTGGACTGAGCCTGAGTGGAGGAGGAGGCGGAAGTGGTTTTGGCCTCGGAGGAGGTGGTGGGAGCAGCTTTGGTCTTGGAGGAGGTGCTGAAAGTGGTTTTGGCCTTGGAGGAGTTGGTGGGAGCAGTTTCAGTCTTGGAGCTGGCAGTGGAGGAGGAGGTGGCTACAGCTTTGGAAGCGGAGGAGGACTTGGACTCGGGGCTGGAGGTGGTCATGGAGGTGGGTTTGGAGGGGGGAGTGGTCTGGGCACTGCTGGCAGCTACAGCCATGCCGGAGGTGGCAGCAGTGCCCTGAGCACCAGTGGAGGGAATTTCAGCTCTGGAAGTGCAAAAGGCACCAACCCAGGTGTGAAAATCGTCTCCAAAACCTCCTCCAGCAAAAAGAGCATAAAAAGCCAAAGCCTGAAGAATGCCACAGAGTCTGAGTGAAGCCAAGCCCAGACCCTCCCATGGTTCCTCTGTTTCTCCTGCCCACCATTCTCCCCCAACCTCCACCCCTCCAGCTGCCCCTGCCCTGCTCCTGCTCCGTAGTTCTCACGCATTTGGATCTCAGGTCAAGAAAAGCAGTGGAACACACAGTTACCAAAGCTCTCCAAGTCCCTGGAACAGGAGTTAAAGGAAAACATGGGCCTAAGTGATTGTTCTGAATGGGGAATTGGTTTGGTTTTTCATTTGTTTGTTTTTAATAAGACCAAGCAGTTTGTGATTGTGGCCACCCACAGCTATCAGCTAAAACAGAGCAAATAGCAGGAAAAGTTTTATCTCAATTCTGGCCCCCAGAAGCCCAGGGATAGGCTGGAAATGTGTGTTCAACTCACTCTGCTTTGCCTTCACTGTTGGAATGAGCCCAACTTGCTCCTTCACAAGAGAAGTTCATCTGCATCAGAGATCTGGGTTATTTTTCTGCTATCTAGAAGTACGCCTGGAGGCTACTCTAAGATCCCAGACAATGGCTTGTAATGTTCCTCTTAAAATATCCTTCATTCTGAGTCACTCTGGTGAGATGGAAAATCTCTCTTTCTTCCATTCACAGCCAAGTTTTGAAATATATGATTCTTCCAGATATTTCCAAGTTTTGCTGCTGAGTCAGCTCAGGCACTTGAGCCTGATCAGAGATTTGGATTCTAATGTTCAAGCAGCAGCCTGAGCTCCCTCCACCCACAGATGAGAATTCAATGTGTCACAAGCTTATCAATAAGCTTTTCTACAATCACTCTCCCATTCCTGTCCTTTCTCTTCTTAAATGAGTTTGCCCACAGCAGCCCTAACACATCATCTCGGGAGTGGTTTTTTGTCGGAGGATTCACCCGTGATTGGTCCAAAACCTATAAAAAAGGGCTTATTTTCTAAATTATAGGATTTTAAAATTCTAAATAATGTCTGATACAATGAGTCCTTCAAAAGCAAGAGCAGTGCTTGCTGTTAAATGGGGTTTCTGTCCTGTCCCATACAAGGTTTTGCTGGAATGTCCTCAAAAATTCCCAAACCCTCCAGCATTCCCAGTCTTTCCCCACAGCCTTAGTTGCAGCAGGTGGAGAAAGTCTGAGACTGTGAAAATCACACTGGAAAAGCTGCCTGAAGGGTCATGTCCACACAGCTCATGGGGGAATTCCAGCACCTCCTCTCTGTGTGGTTTTCTCTGCCAAGAGAAAGACCTTTAGGAAACTGGGAAGTGCAGCATGTTCCAGACCAGTGTGTGAGAAATGACACAGTCGAGAACAGGATCCCTAAGGAACTCCAGTGTCCCAAATCTATTTTGCCCTTTTCTGATGGAATTTACCCCTTTAGCCTTCCACAGTGTCTTTTCATTTTTGGAAAGTACCATTAAAAAAGAAAATTGCAGCTTTTTATACTTCTGTAATAGTGATGCGATGCCATGTTTCCCTTCCTCTCACTATTTGGAACATGTCCAATAAAAACATATTGTAACTTATTTGTTCTTTTTATTTATCTTTTTATTCTAAACCAGAACCAGCAGTACAATTGGAGAAAACTGAAGGAGGAAGAGGAGGAAAAGAAGGAGGCTGGAGATTTATCCATAAGTGACAAGATAATTAATCACCATTCATTTCTTAACTTATTTGGGTTAATCCAAAAGCTTTTCTTTGATAGAAGGGAAGGTTTTGGGGGGATAGAAGGGAAGGCTTGGGGCAGCCAGAAAAAACCTCATGATTTAATTTTTGCTTTCTTAAAAAGCCAGAGCAAACCCAAGTGTCTGCAAGGCTCTTGAGGAGGCTTTATCTGGAAGATCTGGGTTGGGGATGGGTGCTGGAGCACAACAACAGCACTGATGCAGATATTTCAGTCAGTCATTGCAAAAGGAGAATAAAACCAAGAAAAAGTGGAGAAGAAGCCCTCAGCCAAACATTATTGCAAAGCCCTTACTGACTTTCAAAGTCTCAGATGCTTTGCTCTGCCCTGACCTTGCAACATCCTGGTCCTGCATAACTCCGGGCAGAACTTGGAGCAGGAACATGGGAAGGAGCAGGAACACACATGCCAGCGTGTCCTGGCAAGTTCAAAGGAGGCACTTCAGCAAAACCTTGCTCAAACCCAGGTGCACCAAAACACAGCAATATCTCATCCCCTTTGAGGAACTTCCCAAAGGAACTTCAGTGAAACACCAAAACCAGGGGCAAAACTGGACTCAGAATCCCAGAATCCCAGGATAGCTGGGGCTGGAAAGGCCCTCTGGAGCTCATACAGTCCAACTCCCTGCCAAAGCACAGACACCTGGAGCAGGTAACACTGGAGGGTGTCCAGGTGGGCTTGGAATATCTCCAGAGAGGGACAATCCATGCCCTCCCAGGGCAGCTCTTCCAGGACTCTGCCATCTCTATGGAAAGAAGTTCTTCCTCATGTTGAGGTGGCATTTCTTGTGTTCTAGTTTTATGGCTATGACTTCTCCCTGCCCAGGAGGTGGTGAAATCAGCATCCCTAAAGGTATGCAGGGAATGACTGGATGTGACACTCAGTGCTCTGGGTTGGTGACAAGGTGGGAATTGGGCACAGATTGGACTCGATGATCCTAGAGGACTTTTCCCACCTCAGGAATTCTGGGATCCTTGTCCTGTCACTGGGCACCACTGAACAGTTTGACATCATCCTCTTGCCACCCCTTGGAGATGTTCACATGGATTGATGAGAGACCTTCTCAGATGAGATATTTTTATGGATATTTGGATATTCCTATGATTGTTAGGATTCCCTCTCAGTCCCCTCTTCTCCAGACTGACCACACCCAGCTCCTGACATTTCTCCTCATTAAAGAGATGCTCCAGACCTCTCATCACCTTTGTGGCTTCCATTGGACCCTCTCCAGGAGCTCCTTGTCCTTCTGGAACTGTAGAGTTTAGAGTAGAACACAACACTCCAGATGTGGCCCCACCAGGACCAAGTAGAGGGGCAGGATGTTTTCCCTGACCTGCTGGACACGCTCTTCCCGAGGCATCCCAGGGAATTCCCATGGGGAATTCCATTACTTCTGGCTGCAGGGACACTGGCTCATGGTCAACCTGTCACCCACCAAGACTCCTCAGTCCAGAGGATGTTGCAAACAGGCCAAAAAAACCCCAGTGAAAGTTAAAAAAAACCTCTGAGTCACCTCGATTTCTGATCTCGCCAAAATTGTACAGGTTGGGTGCGAGGATTTAACACAGCTCATGACAACCCAGCCTTAACCAACCTGGAGAGTTTTTAGCATCTTTTTTTCCAGTCCCTTCTGAAAAAAGAGCAAATTGGAGCTCAGAGGCAGCTGAGCTCCTGCAGACAGGAGCTCTGTTCCTCCTTCCCTTCTCTGCAGTGTTCTCATCCCCCAAGCAACCCCCCATGACATGCCTCTCCACAGGGAAGTGTCCCACCTGAGAGGCCAGCACAGTCTCCCTGAAGCCCTGAACACCTTCAGTGGGACACTGCATGTCAGTGACACAAACCAAGAAAGGAAAGTGTGAGGGACTGAGAGATTGCACAAGAATTTTCCTTGTTTTGGTGCCTAAACCATCATTTACTTTGCTCTTCCAAATCCTTTGTAATATTCCACTTAATTGTCATTGTCTGCAGCAACAGGCTTTCCTAGAAGAGCTGGGGAAGTAATGACTCCCTTCCACATTAATCCTTTCCCTGTGCTTTAATTAAAACCTGTGCTTCTGTTCCCAGGTGTGACTTTGCATAAGTGATTTGGGAGTCAAAGGCAAGTTCCCTGCCTGGACCCCATCCACAGGCTCCTGGCACAGTTGTGCCAGTTCACATGGGCAGGCACAGGAAAGCAAATCTCCATGGATCTGCCATGCTTGGAAGAGTGTTTATTTATTTTCAGTATCACTGTGTTTATTTTTAGTGCCCAGAGGTCTCATGGCTGAGGTTCCTGCCACTGTGAAATAGGGGGTCGCTGGGTATGGATGGAGAGAGGGGTGAAGTTTTCCCAGTAAAAACTCTGCATTTCCAGTGTGCAGAATATTCCCACATCTCTACTACTGGGGTGAGAGCACCCCCTTGCTACAGCTCAGCCGCCTCCCCACCCGCAGGAGGGCTCTTGGATCAGCCCATCCAGGGATTGGCTCCAATCGCACCCGTGGTGACTCACTATTGGAATCAGGAGTGCTCAAAGGAGATGGGAGTTGGGAGCGCTGCTGTTTTCTCATTTCAAGGAGACAAAACCCAAGCAAACCAAACCAAACCCAACCAAACACCTCCTGCTCAGGTTCTTTCAAGTTCCCAGACAGAAAAAAAAGCAGTGGTTGGAAACACATCAACACAAACAAGCTCTGAAATGCAGCCAATCCCCTTAAGCTCCTCCTTTTGGATTGAGCTCCTGCACTTTTTGCTCACGTAGATGAATTTGGGAATTTTTTTGGTTTAGCTGCTCAGGGTCTCATCTCTCTGTCTTTCACTATTACTTCACCTGGCCAAGGTGGGCAACCCTGGCCAGTAGGCAGAATCCAGTTCAGAACAGTATTCAGGGAGGTATTTTGAGTGGGAATGAGGGGATTTCTTCTCCTGTATCTCGTGTCCAGCTCTTCATGGACCCATGAGAAGGATCCCCAGCTCTCACGTCTTTACACAACCCAGACTCATTGTGGGGGTTAAAACTCCTGCACAAGGGTTCACCCAGGAGCAACATCAAGAGGCACAAGCTATTTTTGAAAGTTTTTTCAACTGTGTGATCTCAGTGAAGTGAAGGAGGGGGTGGGAAGGAAAGTGGGTGAACTCCCCTCCACAGAACATCTTGGAGAGCCAGCAATGACATGGAAATTGTTGGATAAATATAAAGCAGGGGGGCAGAAAAAGCGATAAAAATACCACTTCACAGGGAGCTTTTGAACCCTGAGCCTGACAAGGAGATACTACAGAAACACAATCATTTAAAGCAGCTTTTTAATAGTATAAGTCTCTGTTAAGGAAAATACTATTTAGGCTATTTTGATGTAATT